TTCACTACCCAAAGGAGTCTCGGAGCGGCTCACAAACTCCTTCCCCCTCCCCACAACAGACACCCTGTGCGGTAGGTGGGGCTGAGAGAGCTCTTGACAGAAACGGCTCTTCTTTCAAGAACAGCTCTTATCAGAACTACGGCTTGCCCAAGGTCATCCATCCAGGTGCAAGTGGAGGAGTGGGGAATCAAACCCGGTTCTCCCAGATTAGCCACTTAGCCACGACACCAAGAGACACCAAGTTCTCCTCTCTCCAGTATGCACTGACTGCAAGGAATAACTTGTCCATTGTTAATTATTTGTCCCACAGATATGTCATTTAAATACAAAAATTTTTTATTATTTCAATTTATATCCCGCCCTTGCCATAAACGGGCTCAGGGCAGCCGTTGGGTGACCTTGGGCAAGCCATAGTTCTGTCAGAGCTGTTCTTGAAAAAGAGCCGTTTCTGTCAGAGCTCTCTCAGCCCCACCTACCTCACAGGGTGTCTGTTGTGGGGAGGGGGAAGGGAAAGGAGTTTGTAAGCCGCTCGGAGACGCCGAGTGAAGGGCCAGATATAAATCCAATCTCCTCCTCCTCTCTCCTCCTCTTCTAAATTAATACAGTAATGATACAATAAAACCAGTTTAAAATTTTAAGAAGAGGAAGAGATTGGATTTATACCCCGCCCTTCACTACCCAAAGGTGTCTCAGAGCGGCTTACAAACGCCTTTCCTTTCCCCTCCCCACAACAGACACCCTGAGAGGTCGGTGGGGCCGAGAGAGCTCTTGACAGAAACGGCTCTTTTTCAAGCTCTTATCAGAACTATGGCTTGCCCAAGGTCATCCAGCAGCTGCAAGTGGAGGAGCGGGGAATCAAACCCAGTTCTCCCAGATTAGAGTCCGCGCACTTAGCCACGACACAAAGCTGGTATATTTAAGGTCTTTAAAGTGGGCGGTGCAATGCAGTTAATTCCAGTGAACCACAGCTGGGGGAAAACTTTTCCTCCTTTTCTCGCATGTCCATTTCGAAGTAGCTGGTGGCAACTGAGTGGTAGCCCATTTAGAGGCCAGAGACAAAAGAGGGAAGGGGTATATGCTTCCCACATTTGAGACCCCCCCCATAATGTACAAAAACAAAATTAGACGATGCAGTTTCTGAATCTGCCCAGGTCTGTCCCTTGCTGACCCCTAAGTGCATGAGGTGAGACTTCCCCCTTGTTGCCCTGGGTGGGGGGACTGGACCCAGACATCATGGCGTCCTCCCATAGGTACAAAGATCCCCCCCCCCCCGAAGGCTGTTGTAGGAGCAGGAAAATATTCTGGATCTTCTGATGGACCATTAACCTTGGAATCGTCAGGATCCAATTGCAGGTGTCGTTTGCAAGAAACAACGTCCGTGTTACCGGACCCAGGTGCAGTATTCTACCAGTTCCCAGAACTGCCCAAGATCTAGCGCAGGGCAATTCAGCGTAGACCCACACACACACAACTGCCGTCGTAGGGTGCCAGAAGATACCGCACACTTCCTTTTGAGTAGCCCTGTTGCGATGAGTGGCATTGCTCCAGAGTAAGTCTCGCGTGGCTGGCAGGCTCAGACCTGCAGCCTTAGACACGGCGACACTGTGGTCTTCATAAGAACATAAGAGACGCCAATGTTGGATCAGGCCAAAGGCCCATCTAGTCCAATACTGTGTCACACAGTGGCCAAAAATACCAGGGGCCATCAGGAGGTCCACCAGTGGGGCCAGGACATTAGAAGCCCTCCCACTGTTGGCCCCCCCAAGCACCAAGAAGACAGAGCATCCCTTGCCCCAGACCGAGAGTCCCTATCTATACCTTGTGGCTCATAGCCACTGATGGACCTCTGCTCCATATGCCTATCTAATTCCCTCTTGAAGCCGTCCATGCTTGTAGCCGCCACCACTTCCTGTGGCAGTGAGTTCCATGTGTTAATCACTCTTTGGGTGAAGAAGTACTTCCTTTTATCCGTTCTAACCCGACCGCTCAGCAGTTTCATGGAGTGCCCATTGGAGTTCTTGTATTGTGAGAAAGGGAGAAAAGGACCTCTTTCTCTACCTGCTCTTTCCCATGCATAATCTTGTAAACCTCAATCATGTCACCCTGCAGTGTAGGCGAATTGGTTTTGGTGTCACTACCTCTCGCGGAAAGGTCTGGCAGATCAGAGCAGCAGGGTCCCCCCCCCCGTTTCCTCCAGAGAACCCCGGTTTTTTCTCCCTTGGCAAAAAGCTGGGGGTGCCGTCTGTTGCCTTGAACTCGCCAGGTGTTCCTGGCCCGCCATCCCTCCTGGGGACAGTTTGGACTTTGCAAATGGCCGATCGCGGTGGACTTCGCACCGTTCCCTTCCTCACCCCGGATTCGACCGGAACCCTGCAAAATGGCCTCTTCCCCGCTCTTCTGATTTCTGGCTCGCAGCCGCCAAAGCTATCCGAACATGCCTGTGCAACGCGGAACCTGCATGGCAGATTGGCACCAGAGAATGCCCCTTTGCCTTTGGGGGTTTTGCTGGTCGGAAATCGCACTCTTTTCTCAGGCACCGGATCATGCAAATGGACCAC